AGCTATTAAGCTGAAATATTCCAAGCACTATGAATCACATGCTCCCTTCAGCTACTTGGGAAAGAGATTGAGAGTTCTCCCTCCCATTCCATTGCAGGAGAGGTGGCCAGACAGGTGGGCTCTCTCAGCTGCTGCCGTTTGAGGATAACTGCCTAAAAAGTCCGCTTGCCTCTTCTTCCCACCCTCGAGTGTGAATTGCCGAGAAAGTGGCCAGGAAGGTGGCGGTGATTGGCTGCAGTGCATTTGCAAGCTGCAGAGAAGGGCAAGGAGGGGGGGTTGTTTTCCAGAAATAGGAGAGGAGGGCAACAGCCATCGCTCCTTCAGGCCTTTCTCCATCTGACCTTTTCCCTTCCTGAGTGTGCATGTACTTCCTAAGCACCTTTGGCTTTAAAAATGGCAACAGGCAAGAGCTCCACTGATTGCTTTTGAGTGCTTTTGGCTATTAAGACGGGCAACAATCAGTTTTTCTCACCCATTTCCTCTGCCTTAAAGGGCAATGTGTATGTGGGCTCATACATGAAAGCAGTTACTTGAGCTCGGCAGTAATAGTGCACAGGATGCCAAAGCCATCCCCATTTTTGGTGCCAGGAGGCTTCAGGGACACCTGCTAGCACCCAAACCGGGGTCGTGCTTGCATGCAGGGGGAGCATGTGAGGGGGCATTGGATTATGGCACGCACATGTGGGCTTTTGGCACCCGAGGGGAAAAAAGGTCTGCCATCACTGGTATATACATTTGTTAAAAGATTTGGATATTGAAGTGAAAGGAGCTATACCACTATTTAAAAATAACACATGTATACAAATGGTAGTAGGTGAGAGCCGAGGTGGCACAGTGGTTAGGGTACAGTACTGCAGGCCACTTCAGCTGACTGTGATCTGCAGTTCAGTGGTTCTAATCTCACCGTCTCAAGGTCGACTCAGCCTTCCATCCTTCCGAGGTGGGTGAAATGAGGACCCAGACTGTGAGGGCAAGTTGCTGACTCAATTTGCTAAAAAAATCTGTAAACCGCTTAGAGAGGGCTGAAAGCCCTATGAAGCGGTATATAAGTCTAATAAATAAAATAAAGAATAAAATCCAGAAGGCAGAAGCAAACACGTTGACAAAAAAATATTGTAATTATCAAAGAAGCAATGAAAGAAAATGTAATAGATCTAATTTATTGTCCACCGGAAGATAATTTGGCTGACCTCATGACAATCATGTATATAGAAACACAAGGATCTTATGAAACAACTTGGTTTAAATGCTCATCAGCTATTGGAGGGATGATATTTAAATTTGGTACCTGAACAGTGGGGTTGTGCAGTGAGCCAGAACACACATTTATGGTTGATTGGTTGGAGAATGTTGGCTGCTGCATGAGGCAATATGCATTGTGATTGGTTGCTGTGGGTGTGGAGGGTGAGTTTCCCTCCCCCCCTTCCGTTTTTTTCTTCTGTGTGTTCTGTGATTTACATCATGATGCAGTAATGTGCCTGTCTTATTTGCTGTATATATAGGTGTAAATATATTTATTTATAAAAAAACTACAAGTTCATGCCAGCATCTCTGACTTCATTTGGACATCTGCTGCGCAATTCCCTTCCAAGAAGCAATGGCATTTTGGAAGCATAGAGCTTTCCCAAGGAGGAGGGAGTTTATTCCATCAAAAAGAATCCCAAATTAAGAGAATGTGCAATCCAATCTGGGGGGAAAGAGGAAAGAGGTTCAGGAAAGACACATCTGGAATTTCTCAAGATATATCTTGTATGTTAGAAAGTTATAACTTTAGTTTGGCAAGATTCTGTCCATTAAGTGTAAGCAAATAAACAATTGGACTCAATTGGATTTTACTGTGTCATCTTTGGGTTTGAGCCTTATACATCTGCAAAAAAAACCTTCTCCTATTCAACACACATAAGATCTGAATGAGCAATCCTTGGTCGGGAAATTCCAAAAATTTCATTTAAATAGTGTCTATGCACTTTTCTGATATTCTGCTTCCCTGAGACTTTTTAAACTTTCAAAAAATAGATACAAAAAATGATATATAATGTGATATAATGCTAAATAAATTTAACAGGTCACTTTTTATATTATGTTTGAACAGCAGACATATAGGTTGTCAGCCAGAGGCTTCCAAGAGATATGTCAAAGCAGATAAGGTGAGTGTCACAGCAGCACACTTGAAGTCTTTCCCCATTGAAAATATCTTTGACATAAACACATATACAAAACAAGTGCTAATTTAGTTGTGCTGCTGTGATCTTGGCTGTTTGGACTCTCCAAACTTCATTGCTTTAGTCTGCATGTATTACAAGAGGAAGTGCTTATCATATGTCCATTGTTAGCCACAGTTATTATATTCCTCCTTCGTGTGTAGTTACCAACAAAAGGATAGTAATATTCCTGTACACTTCCTCTTACATAAAAGGAAATATATATGGATGTAAACAATTTCTTGAAAAGCTAAACTTCTTTCCCTTTGATAGTTGTTGCATAGTTAAGTATTGAATATGAAAATATTTTATGAGAATTATAATACCACAGTCTTACGAAGTATTACTGAAACTAGTTGCTATGTATTTGATATATGTATAGGATTACAGAATTCAAACATAATTTAGACGCAGGAAACAATTTGTTTCAGAGGTAACAGACTGGTTGTAATTAAAAAAGAGATGCATGACAGCACTCTCTCTTCATTCATGCATTTGTCCTGTTTTATGGGATACTTATTTCATCCTGAAATAATCTGTATAAAAGATACTCACTATAATCAGAATGGCCAAATACTGCTTAAATGAAAGAAGGGACAAGAAAAAGGAAACAGCAGAAAAAAGAAAATAGGAACAACTTTGTGAGTTGTGTTTCAACGTCCTCCCCAAGATCTTTTGCATTTTATTCTCCATTTTGGTTAGTTACATGGCCACTGGCTTCTACCAGGCTTCTGCATGCACCTTTTGACAGCTTCACAAAAAGGTCCACAATACAGAGTTTCATATGTGGGAAACATTCTTACATTCAAGGGTGACAAACAGTTTCTGGAGAAGGTCTTGTTAAACAGTAGGGAGAGAACATAAGTTATCGCACAATACCTGGCAACAAAGCATCATAGACGTTGAATAGACTAGAACAATTTTATCACAAAAATCACAAAAAAGTAAAGAATCTCTCTGTTATGCAAAATATACATTTTAAGATCTATTTTATATTTTCTACTTTATATATACTAATATTATTTTGTGATCATTTCAATAAAAAAACTATAATATATTTAACTGCCCATATTTTATTTCTTTCAATACCTATGAGGTAACAATGAAGTAAATCAAAACAATAACAAAAAGCATCTATACAAGGCTATGATTTTTTTTCTTCAGCTTACTACTTTCACCTACATTCACACATCTCTGATCCAGATCAAAACTAAATAATCTTTTGGCACATTCACTAGGATTCATAAAAATATAGATACGGCAAACTGAGAGTGCAAAGACTTCTTGCAAAATCCTATGACATTAATGTTCTTAAGTTACAAACTTTGCAAAAATACAGTTGCTATGAGGAAACGTATGTGCTAACATCACTATTGTTAAATTGTGTGCCTTTTATGATCCACAGTGTGGCCTGTTGTAATGACCAAGAAGAATACACAAAGAGTTGTGCTGGTCTTTTTTCATGGGGTTTCAGAGATGCAGCATCCCTTGGTGGAGACGTCTAAAGCTGATATTCCATGCACACGCATCTTATTTACAGTTGACTCATCAATAGTGACTAATAACTGCATCTGCTGGCAGCAGCTGTTAAAATTGGTCCTTAATCCTCATAACAAGCTCGACTTCCATAGAAAATTAGAAGAATCTCTTCAAGGCGTTAGGTGATGATCAGGGCCCATTCAGGAGGAGCAAACTCTTTCCAGTACAGTCCTTGGTATGGCTAAATTCCATTGTCCCTTTTTCAGCAGTCAAAAATCCATGATAAATTCTGTATAACACTGTAGCCAATAATAGCAGCATCAGATATTAATTTCTTGATGAATCTATTTTCATATTAAACATATGTACTGTACAGCTATATCTGCAAGTGCTATTACCAAAACAAAATGTACATCTCCATGTATAAGAAATACAAGTACTCAAATACAACCTTGTACATTTTTATATAACATGCATTTTATGGAAAGAATGTTACATATTTAAATACACCGGTTTTTCCTAGCAATCCTAAACGTACAAAAATCTGGGAATTTTCAACAATCTGAACAGTTCCTTATAATACTTTAAAAAAACTTTAATGTCTAAGTCATTCACATTGTTGGGTGTTTTTCCTCACCAGCCCAAAACTTCATATCTGCAACTAAGTTCATGAAGTTGCTTAAACCATGTTACCTTGTTTTTAATATAAAGAAAAAGCAATTATAGAGAATAAAATTTGAACATAAAAATGAATGCAGATTGTAAAAGTGTGGGATTGAAGCAGCAATCCTAATGAAATGACAAAACCATTGCTAAATCCCACCTTTTGAAAAATGTTAAGGAAGTGGCCATTTATTAAACTATATTTGGCATATGCATAGATACATGTATCAAAAAGTGGGGGAAGGAAGCAAATGCTTTTAGCAGCTAAACTTACACATGAAAAGAGCAGCTTTGAAGAAGGCAACTGTGGAACATGAAGACAGATGAAACAGTAACACAACACACAAGACACAGCATTTAAAGAAAATAAAATTAAAAAATGTTGACAAATAAATTGTGAAAGCCTTAGAGTTAGAGGTTTAGATGGTCAAAACCCTATTTTGAAACTATTATCCTCTTACAGCTATGATTATATATATATATATATATATATATATATATATATATA